ACTCCAAAACATTGATAGCAAAGGCCATGTCCTGACGTGACTTTTGCATGATAGCAGAATGCAAAGTAAAGCTAAAGATATGTACCAATGATACATGTTGAGGCTCTTCAAATTTCTTGGATGGCTATATAAACCAGGAATGCTTCCAAGGAAGCTTGTGCATGACTTGTGCATGATCTCTCCATTAAATGCAAGTGGAGGGATCTTGACCAGGTCACAAAATGTGCAGATACACGCAGTAATCCAGGATGAAATGTGTTGTGATGATCGGTTGTCCCTTCACTCAATCCACCTCTGCAAAGGCTTACAGAAGCGCTTGGTCCATCCAATGTAGAATGCCAATGCACTTCTTACATCAAGGGAGTACAAGCCTTGCTCCCTGGTGCTATGACATCCTGCCCTGTGTGGAAAGATATCCTACCTCGTGTGGAAACCAGAGATCACCTTCAGAAGGAAAGTCGGGTAAGGGCAAAGCTGGATTTTGTGCTTAAGAAAAAACACATTTGGGGGTTCTGACATTAGGGCATGGAGTTCCGAACACTGCAGGCGGAGGTGAGAGCCACCAGGAAGGCTACTTTCCAGGATAAACAGAGAAGAGAACATGTGGCTAACGACTTGAATGGTGGGCCCTTGAGAGCAGACAGGACAAGGCTGAGGTTCCAAATACAGGCAGGGCGATGGGTCGGAGGCTGGAGCCTGTCCATACCTTTGAGAAAGCGCCCTACAAGGAAGCTCAAAAAACATCCTGTGTGACCAGCTTCTCTGGGATAGAAGGCAGAGATAGCCATCAGAGGTACAGGAAGCAACAAGATCGCTAGGCCTTGTTGGTCCAGAGATACAAGATAATCCAGCACCTAAGGTATGGAGGCAGCTAAAAGGGTCATGGTCACACTCTAGGCGTGCTGTAGGCATGTGTCCATTTTGCCAGGTAAGTAAGCCTGGTAGGTGATTTTTGACTATTAAGAAAAAGTTGTTGAATCCTCTCTGAGCAGGTGTGCTTTGCGGAGTTTAACCATGGGGCTGCCATACTGTGAGATGGAGCAAGCACAGGTCTGGATGACACAAACGACTGTAGTCCTGTGCGATGAGACCATGTGGGAGACCACTGCTAATGGGCCCAGGCTAGGGCTATCAGGATGACATCTTCCCTGTCCCTGTGGATCTTGAGAAATACCTTTTTCTGTCAATGAGAACAGAGGAAAAGAGTACAGAAGGCCAGTGTGCCACAGAATCAGGAAGGCATCTACCACTGACCCAGGGCTGAGATTTCAGAAGGAGCATAAATGGTGGCATTTCTGGTTCTAATGAGTCATGAAAAGATGTAGCTGGGGAGACCTCCACCACTGGAGGATGTCCAGCCAAAGCAAACACTTGTGGGCAAAGAACAGCCGGTTGAGGAGGTCGCCAACTGCTTCTGGACCCCTGGGAGGTAAGAGGCCTCCAGGTGAATGGAATGGACTATGCAGCAGTCCCATAGACGAAGGGGTTCCTGGCAGAGCAGAGCTCTGTTTATTTATGTAATAGATGGCAGTCGTGTTGTCCAGCACGCACTAGCCATCAATATGGGGAAGGAAAGCCTGACACATCAGGTGAACTGCCCTGAGATTCCCACTCATTGATATGGAGGAAATGCTGCTCCCATGTCCACATGGCTTGCGTGGTAATGGTCCCCGGGTGTGCCCCCCAACCCAAATTTTATGTGGCTGTAACCAGCGACATCGTAGACTGCAGAGCATGGAACAGGATGCCAACAAGGACTGACGACAGGGGATTCAGCCAACACCAGAGACCATGGGTAACGTGCTGAAATCATGACCACTATGTTGAGATTGTCACGGCTCAGGCAAAACAATGATGTGAACCAAGACTGGAGAGTTTGCAGATGGAGCCTCACACACAGAACTGCATACATACATGTTGCCATGTGACCCAGAAGCTCAAAGTAAGTTCTGGCCATGGTGACCAAAAAGTCTGTGAGTGACTGCAGCACCTGGATCATTATTGAAAAGCAATGCTCCAGAAGGAAGGCCTGTGCCCGGTGGTGTCAAGAACCCCAGTGAATTCAGGGAGGGTTGCAACTCCCTCTGGAGCGTCTATGAAGTTGACATTGGCATCAAAATGAAGTTGGCGCTGGTATCACGGCTGTGCCGTCACTGATGTGGAGAACTTCAGAGTTGGTCATTATGGGAGCAGTTGGAACAAAAGGGGGGACATCTGGACAAGGGCTGGGATTGGGATGCCACAGATACGGGGGTTGACAACAGTGCCACCGACATAGATTTGGTTACTTTTGAGGGTCATGCTGGGGATCAAGAGCAGCACTGAGCTGTGGCCGTGAGGACTTCCCACTGCAAGAATCCTTTTTCGGTGCTAACACTGAGAATTGAGCACTGCGAGCAGAGGTGCTTAGTGCTGGATCTGGATGATGTGCATCCAGGGCAGATTCTACAAGGAGCAGTTTCAGATGAGTGTCCTGCTCTCTTTTAGTCTGAGACTTGAAGGCCTTGCAGATCTTGCACCGATCCAGTTGCTGAGCTGCCCCAAGACACAAGTTGTGGTGGTCACTGTTTGGCATATGTTTCAGGCAATCACTGCACTGATTGAAGCCCCGAGACTGCGGCATGCCCCAAGTTCCTGAAGGATAGGGGAGAGAAGGGAAGGCCCCTTCGTTCACACTTCTAAGTACTATCTAGCTAGCTAATAACTATTCAGGCCTGTATGTGGGGGAGAGGGGTACAAAGGCTGCGAATGCACATCCCACAGTCCCCCCATGGGGCCGATTATGGCCAGAATGGAGTGGTGCACTGCATCAGCCTCCCTCCCCCATGCTCTGGCCAGCTGCAGGAAGTAGGAGTGGCATGCTGCACCAGCCTCCCTCCTCTGTGCTCTGGCTGGCTGGAGGAAGGCTGGATAAGTCATCAGCCTCTGGAGCCTGGAATTGTGGGGTCAAGTCCCACCCCTTCTACCTGCCTCCACCCTGGGAGCAACCAGGTAGCCACCATCAGCGTCCCCAGGGCTGGAGCTGGTATCAACTGAAGGCATCCTCCCTCGGGATTCAAAGCTTTGACTTAGGGCTTTCAATTAGTAGGTGTTAACGAATGCGATTAACACAGGGCAGAATTAATGCGTTAAAAAAATTAACTTTCCTTAATCATAGAGGTCAGCAAACCAGCACGAGCTGCTTCAGAGACCATCTTCTGGTAAGGTGCAGTAATTCAAACTGCCACCACAGGGCGCACGGAAAAATAAAGCAACCAGAAAGGAGGAAAAAACCCCTGAAGCTGTTGTTCCAGCTTCAGGGAAGAAGTAAACAAGAAAAGTAAAGACACTGACACCCGTCCCTCTCCCCTCCCAGGAGACCATATATTTTAAAATAAAACAGCCCGGGGAGGGGGGCTTTCCCAAACCATTTCCCTCCTCCCCCTGGCAGGGCTCACCCAAGCCACCTTCTCTTTGCCTCCTGGGGCTGAGACTGACACTCTTGAACTCTGCACTACCCATGGTGGGCATCTAGCCCTCCCCCAGCCCAGGGGCTGACCCCTCCCCTGAGCTTGGTGGCTGACCCGACCCCCAAGCCCTATGCCACCTGCAGTTGGGGGCTGATCCCCCCTGAACTCTGCACTGCCTATGGCAGAGTCTACCCTCCTTCCGGCCCTGCAGCTGACGTAAAAAAGGACTCTTTGAATAGAACACAAATATATTGACTGTATAGAAGAATTTAAGTTCAGCTTTCATGATAGAATTTGCACTACAATATTTCAGTGAGGTGAACCAAAGTTTTTGTTTACAGTGTAAATGTTTTGTAATAAAACATAAATATAAAGTGAGCACTACACTTTGTATTCTGTGTTGTAAGTGAAATCAATATTTTAGAAAATGTAAAAAACATCCAAAAATATTTAAATAGATAGTATTTCTTATTGTTTTATGGTGCAATTCATCACAATTAATTTTTTTAATTGAGCGATTAATCTTTGTAATCGCTTGACAGCCCTACTGCAACTGTTCTGTGCTGATATAGCTACAGCCAGCGCTCTTCACTGAAAGTAAGGAACAGCTTTCCTGAGCTAGTCTGTCAGTGAAGGGCAGTGCACAAGAATGCCCATCCCACCTACTCACACACCATGTGACTTGGACCATCCTGTAGTTTGCACAGACATAACGTGGGCAGTAGTTTGGGCTTTTTAAAGATGTTTGTTATTTACAAACAATAATTTTACAGAAGTACAGTGCAGGTTGTCCTTACACAGACTAAATAAGGAACTACAGAAAACTATATATGCCTAATCATGTCTCCTTTCCAAATACTGGGGTCTTAGGGAGAGCGGTTTTGGAATGAATATTGGAGATAAGACTCTGTGAGCAGCTGGAGCATTGGGCATGGAAGATGCCATTTCAGTGTCTCTGCACAGGGTTGGGTTGTACAGCACAAGGACTTGTTAGCCACAGCAGCAGCTCACAACATTGTTTCAGAGACATGCTTTCTGCAGGAGGGGAGGGCAGGAAGACATACATCAAGGTTCATTAAACAGAGAAGCTTAATATTTACAGTACAGGCACACAATAATAACCAGGCACATCTATTAAATCCAGGGCCACATTCTCCTCCTCAACCTACCAAGTCAGTGGATTTACTATGATGATGACTTGCTGCTGAGAGAGGAAATCTGCCCAGGCGCCCTTTATGAGCCTGCTTTGCAGAGATGCTGATCAGAAGAAGAAGACAGAAAGTGATTTTTCATAAGAGAAACTTACCAGATTCATGTATGGCACCACAGGGTTCTTCACACCATGACCCTTCTCTGCTTCCTATAGAAGAGCATAACTGAGACGGAGGTACAGATTCCTAAAAACAATAAAAGTTACATATTAACAACCTCCAGGATTGTGAACCCATTTAGATGGTCTCCAGCATAAGTGAGCAGTTAGTGTGTTTATTGAAAACTAGAAATATGAAAATCAAAATATGAAGAGGAAGTTACTCACTTTGGTGCAGTAACAACAGTTTTTCCAGATGTGTGTCCCTGTGGGTGCTCCACTGTAGGTGTAGGGCTTGTCCCGGCACCGCAGATCGGAGATTTGTCAGCAGTGGTTTGTTGGACCGTGCATGTGCATTAGGTGCCTCATGCCATTCGCGTGATTTCTTGACGCGCGCGGTCCGGCTCCTGCCAGTTTCTCCTAAATGCCAAATATCTGAAAGATATAAAGGAGAAACTCCGAAGAGGAGAGGAGGGCGGGTAGTGAAGCACCCATGGGGACACACTTCTCAAAGAACCGCTGTTATTGCATCAAGGTGAGTAACTTCCTCTTCTTCGAGTGATGTCCCCGTGGGTGCTCCACTGTAGGTGACTTGGTAGCAGTACCCAGAAATAAAAAAGGCAGGATTCAAAGTCAAGGATTCACCACTGTGGATAACACTGTGGAGGTAACCCTCATGAGGATGTTGGAGATGGTGTAATACTTTGCAAAGATGCAGTTAGAGGACCATGTGGCTGCTTGACAAATGTCATGAAAAGACACTCCCTTGAGGAAGGCTGTAGAGGCTGCTACTGCGCTGGTAGAATGGGCTTTTGGGGATTCTGGCAGAGGTTTATTCTGTAATGAGTAGCGGCAAACTATACATGAAACAATGAGGTTGGAAATACATTGTGCAGAGAGGGGCTCACTCTTGGATGGGTTGGCCGTGAAATCAAGAACTGCTGAGACTTTCAGAAGTCCTTCGTCCGATCAATGTAGAAGGCCAATGCCCTGTGCATGGCTAGTGTGTGGAGCCTAGCATCATGTTGGGAGGAACGTGGCTTGGGGTAAAAGGTTGAGAGGATGATACATTCGTTGATATGGAACTCAGAGTTTATTTTTAGTAGGAAGGTCGATTGGGGGCGGAGTATGACCCCCTGACTTGTGAACACCATATAAGGGGGTATAGCAGAGAGGGCAGCGAGCTCTCCTACTCTCCGTGCTGATGTTATTGCTAGTAGGAAGGTGACCTTAATAGTTAGGAGAGAGAGTGTGAAGTCGCCAAGGGTTCAAAGGGTGGTCGTGTTAGGGCATCTAGGACCAACTCTAAGTCCTATGCTTGGGGCAGTGGTCTGCCAACCCTTTAGAAAACCTTCTAGTGATCGGGTGAGTGAACACTGAGTAGCCATCAACCATGTGTCGAAAGGCGGTGATCACAGCAAGGTGAACCCTGAGAGATGATAGAGCTAGACCAGCATGCTTCAGATGCAGAATATAGTCGAGAATGCAGTGGATCTGGGCAGAGATTGAGTGTAGACCATTAGTTGTGCACTAGGAGCAAAATCTGCGCAACTTATTTAAGTAAGTGGTTCAGGTGGTAGGTTTTCTGCTTTGTAGCAGGACCGATTTGACTTCTTGAGAACAGTTCATCTCCTTGCTCTTAAACCAGTTAGGAACCAGGCCGTGAGGCGGAAATAGTCGGGTTGAAAGTGCACTAGGGTCCCATGGTCCTGGGTGAACAGATCGTGGCATTTGGGTAGGGGATAAGGTGGGTAAGGAGACATGTGAAACAGACATGGGAGCCATGTCTGATGAGGCCAAAATGGAGCTATGAGGGTTACTGTTGCATTGTCCCTGGTGAACTTTTCTAAGACTCTCGGTATTGGGAGTCGGAAGGAAGGCATACAGTAATTGCTCGGTCCAGCGGATAAGAAAAGCATCTCATAGAGATTCCTGGAGCAGTAATATCGGCACTTCACGTTTCAATGCGTGGCTAACAGGTCTACGGTGGGGAAGTCCCAAAGACAAAAAATATCCTGTAGTATTCGATAATCTAGTTCCCACTCATAGTCCTTGACGAAGTACCTGCTGAGTGCCCAGAACATAAACTCTAATTACCCAGTGCTGGAGACAGCAGAGATGAAGTCATGCATGCGCTACGACACATGTGGTAGTCGCCATGTGTCCCATGAATTGAAGACAGATAAGTATGGGAACAGTAGGGCTTGTGGAGAGAATCTGTATAAGGTCCTGAAAGCCTGAAATCTGAGCAACAGTAAATATGCTTGGGCAGTAGTCGAGTCTAAACGTGCACCTATGAACTCCAGGGATTGCTGAGGCGACATTAAAGATTTTTGGAATCTTGATTATAAGCTCGAGAGCCTTGAAAACTGCCCTTGCTGTGATGGTGGATTGGAGAGTGTCCTCGAAGAACGGACCCCTGATCAAACAGTCGTTGAGGTAGGGGAAGATAATGATCCCAGCTCGACGGAGGTGCACGATGACCGCAAGTGTCTTCAAAAACACTCTGGGTGCTGAAGACAGACCGAGGGGCAAAACTCGGTATTGAAAGTGTTCAGTTCCGACTATGAATCTCAGGAAGCGCCTGTGCGCTGGATGAATTGTGACATGAAAGTAGGTGTCCTGCAGGTTGAGGGACGCAAATCAATCTCCACTGTCAAGAGCTGGGATAACAGATGCTAAGGTCACCATTTTGAAACTCTGTTTGCGAAGGTGTTGGTTGAGTCGACGGAAATCTAGGATTGGCCTCCATCCACCTGACTTTTTCTGGGTGAGAAAATAATGGGAATAAAAGCCCTTGCCCTTGTGCTCTTTGGGTACTCTTTCTACCACTCCAATGGTGAGGAGATGTAAGACCTCTTATCTCAGCAAAGACTTATGAGAAAGGCCCCTGAAGAGGGACTGGGAAGGTGGGAATGGGGGGGAAGGAGAGAGAAGAGAATTGAGTAGCCTGATGTTATTAGCTCAAGAACCCATTGATTAGTGGTGATGGTGGCCCACCATCTTTGGAATGGTCTTAGGCGGTGATGGAATAACCAAACCTCTTTGCATTGATGACCAGACAGTGGAACAGCTTGCAGACCCTCGGCCAACATGTCAAACTTGCTGCCGCTTATTCTTCTGGTTGGGCATCCTGATGATGTTCTGGGGACATTGTTTTTGTGGTCGCTGTCTAGGACGGTGTTGGTTGGTAGCCTTATGTTGAAGCACCGAGTAAGGCATCCTGCTCCTCAGCCTACAGCTCAGCCTGCACTAGCACAACCATCGGCGCCAACTAAAGCCCAGTGCAAGTGACACAGGGTTATTACTCCTTCACCCAATCCGAAGTCTATCACCTTTTCTCCTGAGCCTCTGTCTCCCTCACCCATGCCCACGGTCCCACCTGATGACCATTTGCGGCACCGTTCTATCACAGAACACTGCAGTCCTCCATCACCCCCTCACTATTATTGGCACCAACATATATCGACATCTCCTAGATCGCCAAGGCACGGATCCAGGTCGCCCAGATCACCTATGCATTCTCTGTATGTCTGCTATCATGATGATCGCACTGCTCAGTGCTTATCCCCTCTAGCCGGGCTGCATGCCTCAAGAAACCATGCAAACAACACGAGGCACCTAATGCACATGCGCAGTCCGACAGACTACTGCTGACAAATCTCTGATCTGCGGCATCAGGACAACCCCAACACCTACAGTGGAGCACCCATGGGGACATCATTTGAAGAAGAAGGAACAGTTACAACAAACAAATCAATTTGTAAATACCAGTTTTATCAATACCAGTTTTATTGGTCCAGTGGCAAAAAAAAAAAAAAAAATCTCTAGCCCTAATATGTTAAGCCTAAAAGTACAAGGAACTATCTAATTTTGTAAGTTTCTGCAGGTAAAAGAGACAAGACATTTTCTTTTTGACATTTCCCCCCAAAGGCACCATTTTGGGAGGGGGGGGGCGGAGGGGCAGCAGCTGTGCATGCTGGGACGCAGCTTGTTTTTCTTCCCGTTCCCCCTGACTATTAGGGAATGAGGGGAAAGTACTTGGATTCAGTGCACGCCTCTCACTCCTGGCTAGTGAAGGATGGGGGCAAAGGAGTAATTTATGGAATCAAAGTACTTTCCCCTCACTCCCTGATAATCCAGGGAACAGGAAGAAAAGCAAGCCACATCCTGGTACACATGGCGGCTGCCCTTCCTGATCTTCTGAAATTACACCCTTATTTTTTCAATTTTAAAAATTCAAAGCGAAAGCAAGGGTGTATTTTGTATTCTTTGTTTTAAAAATACAAATTATCAGTGCTTTTGCTGGGATGAGAGATTATTTCTTTTCAATCATAACACAAGCAAAGTCTGATCATTTCTAACAATAACATCCCCCAAACGACACTGTTTTTATACTAAACTGAAATATGCAGGCAAGATCACAAGATTTGAAAACAATGATTAAAATGTAAAGCAATAAACATACATTTTCCCTAATGCTACCAACTGTAAAATAAACAAACATAAAGCTGCAGCTTTTCAAAAGGATAGATTGTTTATATCATACCTCTCCTTTATTTTGCATATTCTTAGTGAGATCTTGCAGTTCTGTTTCAATGGAGAGTTTGTCTGAAAGGTAATTTGTAACATTAACTGCCTCATTAATATCACATACTTCTGCTTCAGGTTCAGTAACTTCAATGTCTTTTCCACACACAACTTTGTCCGTAGTTACTGGAGTCAGGCTAGGCTACACAAAAGAAAACATTAAAACTATTACTGAAAATGGATATTCAAATATACTAATTTTACAGACCTTGTACACTCTATGGTCAAGTATTTTTCATTACAATAGATCAGAAGTAGTCACACTTAACTTACTGATATCCAACTAAAGACTGCAATGTGGAAAAAGAACACCTTCACATCCAGCAGGACCATAATAACATTCCTCACCACTGCTTGAAGTCTTGTAATCCCTTTTGGACTCATGCTTTTAACTTTCAGCATTCCAACTTCAACCCTGATGAAGCTTGGAAAGCTGAATGGAATTTACGAAATGTCACAAACACCACATGAAAGTTCAGATGCAGAAGATCCCTGGCTCTGATCACCCACAGAGACCATGAGCAATTGTAAACTGTATCTACACAAACCCTGGTAAATGTGATACTTGCGGCATAAATAGAAAATTAAAGACTCTTCAATGTGCGACTATGGTCACCCAGCACAGGTCATGGAGCATTTAACAACTTCCAAATAAGAAAGAAGGATCACAGCAATACCCTGTGTTACTCCTGATGAAATTATCTGGTTTACCCATCTAAATGTAACATTATAGTTGTTGCTCTACATTTACATCAGCCATATGAAGATGATTTTATCAATGTAAATAACAATATAGAAACCAAACAAGTTTTTTTTTTAAAACGTCAGCATGCCAGGATGAATAACTAGTGGCTGTAAACATGTTTATTATCCTATTAAAGTTTAAGATAAAGATGAGCCTGTTGTCTTTACTTTTCTAATCATTAAGAGACAGATCATAATTTCATGTCTATGAATGAAGAGGTCAGATAGCCAATAAGTCAGAAAGTCACATATGAGATGGGGATATAGACGCAGAAAATATCCACTCTATGATATTTTCACTTCCCCACCAAAACACCCATCTGAGACTATACTCCAGGGTCTGAAATCGATGACAAGGGAAACAGACTTTCTACACAGGAATAGATCCAGCAATCATAGAATACTAGAACTGGAAGGGACATTGAGAAGTCATCGAGTCCAGTCCCCTGCCCTCATGGCAGGACCAAGCACTATCTAGATCATCTCTGATAGGTGACTTAATGCTGACTTAAGTTCTTTTGAAAATCCCACCGTAAGTGATTTAGAAACAGAGGTCTCATTGAAAATCATTGAGGTTTGTGTTTCTAAGTCATCATTTTTGAAAATTCCACCCACAGTCTATTAATTTAAATGTGTTTTCCCTCCAAATCCCTAAAGCAGAACTTGGAGAAAAAGGCTAGTGTGAGGTTCCTATGGGAACATAGAACCCTAAGCTTTGTTGCCATGAGGAAGGGAGAACAGCCAAGGAGTGGGAGGCAATTTGAAGGCACTTTCAGATACTCCCGGCCTCCACTAATTTAACATCAATTTAATTGATTCAAGAGTTATGTAGGCTTAGCCCAATGCCAAGTAAACAGGACTTCCAAAAGCTCTGTGAGTGCAAACTATTGCTCACACTTGTATATAACACCTACTGGTGAGAATCTAGCCAGCAATTCGGAATATGCATCTGCAGTTTAGGGAAAATCTCAATTCATGTCCCCAGCTGGAAATTCAGTAAAGTATACATACATAAGTATGTGTTCGCACCACTCTATTGAAATGAACATATGCAACTGAATAACCAATTAGCAGAAATGTATATAAATAGTGCTGGAAGATACTCAGTTTCATTTCTCTTGGGGACATTAGTGTTTGTTTCAACTGATCAATGAATAAACAGATGGAAGAGAGAGAAAGTATGGTCTTGTGGGTAAGGCACTAGCCTGGATTTCAGGAATTCTGAGTGCAGGTCCCAACTCTGCCACAGACTTCCTGTGTGACCTTGAGCTAGTAATTTAATTTCTCTCTGCTTCACTTCCTCATCCGTGAAATGGGAATAATATTTCTTTTCTCACTCCCTTTGCTTGGTCTATTTAGATGGCAAATTCTTTGAAGCAGGGACTACTAACTATGTATGCAGAGAGCACCTAAAAGAAGAGGGCCCCAATCTTGGTTGGAACCTCTTCTCAATACTACTATTTGTTTTACTGTACATTTTTATATATAATTTAGATAATTTCTCCGATGGCTGTTACACTTGTATTCCTGATTAGATCACTACTTGATTTTCTTGATTATGTACTTGTCCTACTCATGACACGAAAGATATGTCTAAACTACATCCCACTGTCAAAAGAGGGATGCAAATTAGGCAAATTGAAAGTGCAAATGAAGCGGAGATTTAAATATCCTGTGTTTCATTTGCATAATCGCATCATAGCACTTTTTCGAAAAAGGGTTTTTCGAAAGTGAAAGCGCCATCTATACGCGATTCTTTCAAAAAAACCAACAACCATTTTTTCAAAAGATCCTGTACTCCTCATTTTGAAAAAAAAGTTTTTTTCCTGAAAGAACCGCGTCTAGATGGTGCTTTCACTTTCGAAAAACCCTTTTTCAAAAAAGTGTGGTGATTCGATTATGCAAATGAAGTGCAGGGTATTTAAATCCCAACTTCATTTGCATTTTCAATTTGCCTAACTTACATCCCTCTTTTGACAGAGGGATGTAGTCTAGACATAATCCAAGTGAAAAGACACAATACAATAAACCTTAAAGTTAAATACTTCAATTGAATAAACATAAAAGAAGAGAAATGATATTAATCTTATCTCTGCTTTAAGGTTAAGAGTGCCTGGTTTAATACAATTTTACCACCTTTTATAGGACTAATTTCTTGTTAGAATCATCTATTAATTCTATTCCTATTAAACAGAAGTAATTTTTACTCACTATAAATTAAATAAGCTGTTCATAAAACATCACAATTAAGAAGCTGTTCCAATTAATTAAATTTTAATTGAATACTGTATACTTAAGATAGCAGACACAGAAATAATTATAAAGAGTTACTTTAAAGTTTTACCAAAGAAAGTGGACTTAAAACTGGTGATAAACTTTCATTTCCAAATACCAGCTGTTTGACATTTTCAGGGGATTGTTTTAGATGTGAACTTTGATTATTCTTTTTTGTTGCGTTAAGCTTGTTTGCTGAAATTCCTTTCACGCTGCTTAAAGATTCCCTCTTTTCTGGTGTGGAGTCCTGAAGATAGGATGATGTTGATCTTTTCAAGGAAACATGTTTCTGGGTAAATGCTTCCTCTGGCACTTTTTCAGAACCTAGTAAGTAGAAACACTTCATTGAGGCTATTAAGACTTAACACCTTCTTTTTCTTTTATAAATCATATAACAAGTCTTTTCTTTGTACACAATTCCCATTGATGTAATTGAGAGTTCCATGGAAGGATAGCCACAAAATCATGTTGCTAGCTTTTAAGGGGTTGTTTTAAATATCTTTGAGCACTTACAACTCCAGTTACCTTGAATAGGACCTGTGGGTTCTCAATGAATCAGATCTGACCTAAGTACTACAAACACTTATTAGAAAACACAGTGCATAGTGTTAGGAAAAAAGATCTGCAAACTGAATGGATTGGGATTTCCCCATGAAAATCCTATCCTTTAATAAGACATATTTCATATAAAAATTGCCTTTCAAACTTTAATAAGCAGTCAAGTAAATTATATGCTTGAACTTCCTTAATAATCATATAAAGAAGAAACAGCTATTTTCCCATGACTATATAATATTTGGGTTTTATAATACAATGCAAAACTTTTCCCAGGGCACATTTGGATATTCAGAAATATATTTTCATGTCACAATTGGGTTACTCTCATGCAAGTGTCTTGTCCTTAAAGCCAACACAATAAGAAATGAATTGCTTCTACTTACTATTGCTCATCATTATAGCATGTTTTAATAGCAAGAAGAATACCAACTGTTCTTTTTGCGGACATTGGATTTTTACTGCTCTCTGGTATGAAATACAGGTTAGACCTTCCTGGTCTGGCACTCTCAGGACCTGACCACTCCCAAATGAGGGAATTTGCCCGATCAGGGGAGGTCCACTGCCACTAGTTTCCCAGAATACTGCCCCTTCCTCTGGCTGGTTCTGTTCCAGCCCCACTACCACTGAGCTCCAGCCCTGCTGCTACAGGGCTTGGTCTCTGCACGCTGGCGCCAGCCGGCTGGGGCTATCTGAGGATGGAGCTCCTCCGCCACTGCGACCCCATTTCTACCCATGAAGTCAAGGCTTCTCAGGGAAAGGGCTCCGCAGCTGCCTCACTGCTGCTGTACCCCACCAGGGTTCCCCTGGGACAGGGTTCCATGGTTGCCCCATTGCTGCTGCGCCAGGATGGGGCTTCACGGAGACGGGGCTCACTGATCACACTGCTGCCCTTGGTGGCTGGGGCTCCCTGGGGATGGGGCTCCACAGCTGCTCTGCTGTTGCAGGACAGGGTTCCACAGGAATGGAGCTCACTGTTCCTGCTGCTGCCCTGTCTGCCTTAGGCTGTCTGAGGATGGGGCTTACCTTTCTGATGGTAGGGCTCCCCTCCACTGGACTCCCTGACTGGCTCGCATTCCTGGGCTCCAGGGCTCTCTGGTCCAGCAACATACATGATCCTGCCAAACCACAGATGTTGCCGGACCAGAGAGTCATGGATTTTAGAGGTTCAACCTGTACCAACCATAATACAGCTTGAACCTTTAGTTCAGCATCCTTGGGACCTGACTGGCGCCAAACCAGAGAATTCCATGGGAGATCAATATTGTCTAGCAGCATTACCAACACTTGCACTGCTTACTGGGCTCCTAGAAGTTATTTAGGGGTAAATTAGAGCTAATTAACAGCACAGAACACAGAGTCAGAACGGATGGCAGTAAATAAACTTTATGGGACCATGAAAATCTTGGCCACACTTATGATAGGTATCCATCCAGCTAACTAAAATCATGCTGGACCACGGATAGTGCCAGACTAGATAGTTCTAGACCAAAGAGGTTCAAATTGTGTCTCTAATGATGATGTATTTTCTTCATTTTAACATATAATGCTGTACATTAAATGGATATAAAGAGGATATTGTATGTTTCTTAAAGTAATAATTTGGAATGAAATGATATTACAGAGAAACATTCCATAATTCATATCCAAAACTTGAGCTGACAACCTTAAAAATGAAAATACAAAAAATACACACATCTCAATGTCTCAATAGATTCTGGGCTTTCAGGTGAGTATACTTGTGACATTTCCAATTTTCTTTGTTTTATAGGATCTTTTGGTTTACTAAATATTTTCTGTGGATTTCTTGATATTCTCTTTTTTGGCTCTGAAGAAATATTATCCTGTAGTTCCTTCCGTTGATTCACAGCTTTGTTTAGGCCATTTTTGTGCTCTTGCTAGAGGAACACAAATCTACGTAAGTATTACATTTAAACACACTAGGTATTTTACACACACACATGCACGTATGTACGTACGTACACAATGCAATATAGCTACTTGTCCAGTTAGACACGTGGTTAATCTGGAGAGGTGTTGAGTCCCTCCTTTGGTTCTAAGGACCAAAATTACAGTGGTATTTAGGTGCCTAAGGATGCAGACAAGCACCGAGTGGGATTTTAAAATGTGTCTAGGTGTCCTCAACTCCCAAAACTTCACTGCAAATTAAGCATGTTTGTCATGTCGCAGATTTAGTCCAGTATACAACCTTTACTTGATATAATTTTAAAATTATACAAAAAAGAGCGAAACATATCTTTTTAACATACCATTGGTTAATAGATCTGGAACTGGTTTAGGCATTCAACAAATTAATGTACACTTCTTTATTAAATCAACATATTTTCTGTTTTAAACAGAATAATGTTAAAATTTCAAAAGTGTCTAAGTCATTTTAAAGAACGTACTTAGGGACTTTTAGGTCCCAAAGAAGCTTAGGTGCTTTACAAAAAAAAAAAGAAGGAAAATATACATTTTTGGACCACAGAAGATTCCACATATATAAAACTATGTACTACTTTAAAGGTAGAGGAAAAGAAATAGGAAGTAATTTCCAGAAGGTCTGAGCATCCACAATTCCAGTTAATGGAAAGTACAGGTGCTTCAGAAAAATCTAGCTCAAGGTTCTCTAACTTGGGAATTCAAAATGTGAGGCACCTAAAATTAGTAGAGATGTTAGTGGACAGCCATTTAAACAATTAACTGATAAATCTAGGCTCATCGGTTAATCCAAAAGACTACATGCAACCTCCCCCCTGTATCAGAGGCAGCAAGGGGCCAATCTGCACAGGGAGCTGATTTTTTAATAGGTTCTACCCTCGGGGAGTATTTTAGTAACTGTGTAACTACTTAAAATTGTTGCACCTACACAAGTACCAAAACACTCAATATCTAACATCCCTAAAAATCAGTGTCCACTTTTGAAAATTTTGACCCTACTTTCATGGAGATTATACAGAATATCAATAATACTGTTTACCTCTACTCTTAATTTTTCTTTCGTATATAAGTACTCTGAAGATTCCTCTTCACCCTCTGACTCTGAATTTGAGTAATCCTTATAACTTTTTTTTGTTAATGTTGCTTTTCGAGGCCATTTTGGTCTAATTGTCTGTTTTATATTCTCCTCGGCCTTTGCATTTTGTTTTTTAGTTACAGGTACCTTTGGACAAAATAAATGTACATCAATATCACAACTACAAGAATAATGTAAAAGAACAAATTACAGGGCACCGTGGCATATATAGCAGGAACCAAATACTTTGAAAAAAGAAAGCACATATAAGCATTCGAATTTTACCTGTTTCTTGTATAGAATATAGGGCTAATAATACCTCTGACGTAGTTCCACTGACCATAGTAGACTCACATTAGAGATGAATTTAGCAAGTAACTTTAATGGCAGTTTGCCAATGTTTAAACCTGAAAAGTTAACAAGCTGAATAATAATTACTTATCAAAAAGGTTCTCTCATCCCCATTCTCCTAGGTAGAGAAGGATCAAAATGTATTTATTGAACTGGACAACCTAGACATTCCATGGACTTGTAAATAGAACAGATGAAAATGTAAGTTGTAATAAATGAAGGTTAAAGATCTTCTGCTAGGTGTTATGAAAAAGAAAAAAGAAGAGCCCAGAAAAGCAACAGAAGACTTCAGGGTGAGGGCGAAGTGAACATTTCTCCATCCAACTTCTTATTTATGGCATGAGGAAAAACCAGTTACTTACCTTTCATAACTGTTGTTCTTCGAGATGTGTCACTCATGTCCATTCCATGTTGGTGTGTACACCGTGTGTATGCATAGTCAGAAGTTTTTCTCTTAACAGTACCTATTGGGCCAGCAGGGGAGCCCCCTGAAGTGGCACCATTATATCAGCTAATATATACCCCTGCTGGGATTTGGAATAGACATGAGGAACAAATCTTGAAGAACAACAGTTACGAAAGTTAAGTAACTGTTTTTGTCCTTCTTCTACTGTTTGCTCATGTCCATTCCATGTAGGTGACTCCAAATCAGAAACCCAAGAGGTGAGGTTCGAGTTCTAACCTATCACGGAGGGGAGAACAGACCTAACAAGAACTGTGTCCTCCCTCGCCTGGTGAGCCAGCACATAGTGGTTGGCAAAGGTCTGGATCAAAGACCATGTGGCAGCCTGTGACCGAGCCAGGGTGGACTTTCGGGTTGCCTTCTCCCCAGCCCGGCGGACTGTCCCACATGTCCCACCACCTCACCCGTAGTTTTGTTCTTGGCTGGCTTCCCCTGCCTGGCTGTCTATATTTTTCGCGATGCAACGTCCTTGCTTTTCAGGGGTGAGACTAGAGAGGGGGGCCCGGGCCCGCCCTCATTCACAGGCCCCAGCCCAGGGCCCTAAGGACTCGGACCTTCCAGGGTCCGGTCCGTCTGATGGGGGCTTCCCGCCGAAACTCATCAGCCCACAAACCTGGTATGGTCCTGTCCTGGGCTATTTCCTCTCTCTCTGTCTTCCCCACTGGTCTTCCCGTCCCCGCAAGGGGCCTACCTGAGCTCCAGCGGGCCGGCTGCTTGGCTTCCCTGTCGGGGCTCGGGCCCTCATTGCCTCACAGGGGACCTGATGGAGACACACTCACACCTACGTGCGCTGGGTTTGGATCCCCGTTGCTCCACGGGGGGTTCTGCTAACCCATGCCCGCCTTCATCCCTTCCCGGCGTGGCTCGGCATTTTAAATCTCCCGCTGCTTCCGGCGCAGGATGGGACATCATCCTGATGTCCTGGGGGCAGCTCCGCCCACCCTGTCACATCTGGGCAGCATCTCGGCTGCCATGCCTGGGGCTGCCAGATGCTCAGTGGCCCGCAAACACCCGGCACAATGCCAGTGCCCTGCTCCTCATGCCCCGAACAAGGCGCTTACGGCGGGAGCTTCAGTGTGGGGCTGCAGCGCCCTGTCACACAGCCCTACTGATATCCAGGATGGGGACCTGAGCCACAAAGGCCTGTGCTCTAGTGGAGTGGTAATCGTGGCCAGACCATAACACTCCTTGATGCAGGAAGTTATCTGTGAGGAAATCCTCTGAGCGGACACCGGCTGGCCCTTTAGCCTCTCCACGATTGCCACAAACAACTATGCGGACATACGAAAGGGCTTTGTCCTGTCTAAATAAAAGGCTAAGGCCCTCCTAACATCCAGTGTGTATAAAGCCTGTTCTTTGCCCAAGGCATGGGGCTTGGGTAAAAGACTGCGGAAAAAATGTCTTGAGAGACTTGAAACCAAGACACCACCCTCTTAAACAATTCCTGAAACTGTTGAAGGTCATCCATCTGTAAAGGCATCACTAGTATCACTGCGTCAACCAGAGACTAAAAGAAATTATGATGTGGGAAGGCTTCTTTGGCTTGTCTGTCTGAAGTGTCATCTTGGTCATGAATACCAGAAATGCATTTATAAGGGTAGGATGCTTGTAGCTCATGGAAGTGCCCATTTTGTTGGGATGGAAGGAGCTGTATATTGTTCCTTATAATTTGCCCATGGAGGACACTGCATGGAGTAAGATGAGGGTAGGTATATATCCACAGTAGAGCACTTGTGAACTATAGTGGGCTTTCACTCAGTATGCTTGCCATCAGGGTTGCCAATGTTTTGGGGAGGAATGTTGAGACAAGAATCTGCATCTATGCTCTTCTGTGACCCCCCTCACTATGGATGGAGTAGAGAGCAGGAGATAGTGGAGAGTAGTTTGAGGCTTCCTTTGGTGACTGTGTGTTTCCCTCAGGCAGCAGACATAAGACAAATGGCTGTTGGAGAACGACATCAGTTCGCAAGAAATGTTGTATTTCTTGAATCCCGGGGATCCTGCCATTGTTGAGAAAAGATTATTTTCAGTGAATTGGTGGAGTGCCCCAAACAAAAAGGGGGAAACAATCACAACTAAACTATTTTCTATGTGGGTGGAGGGAGTCAATCGGAACTACACTTGATGCAAAGGATTTTTTTCTTTTTTGATAGAAGAAACAGGTACTGGTTAAACACTATTTAAGGGATTTTCAACTACCTATCTCTAAATTTTTCTTTTAGATGCATGAGAACAGCACTCCATCTGCAGCTGAGGATGGTAAAGAAGGAATTGAGGAGGGTTGGGCCATGTGCAGTATGCTAAGGTGTGAATGCCACAAGACAGCTATGGTGCACAGCCTAACCAGCCACTGAGGGAAAAAATCTGTGATCTGTGGTGCCAGGATGACCTGACACCTACAGTACAGCACCAAGGTTCCCTCCAAGCTGCACAATAGTGTGCATAGTGTGGACATGCAGATACTTAATAAGCCCTACCCAGTGCTGGCCAGAACTCAATGACTAAAGAGTTAAATTCAGGTAGTTAAAGGTGTTGTTGGCAGGGAGCCAGAAGAACCAATGGGATATAGTGCTGAAATTTAAATTGTAAATATATACCTGCTGTGTTTTTCTTGGTGAGTTTTTTAAGCCTAAAATTGGGGGAAAGGGAATGATTTCAACCCAGGCAGGACTACCACGCCTCCAGGAATTCAGAGCATGGAAGTGGACTGAACCATAAAGGGATTATGAGTAAATAAGTGGAAAATATATATTTAGTCATGATCAGGATATTTTTCTTTGCTTTGGTCATTTGGTTAAACTACTCAGTGGAAATCCATGCCTTCCCTCCCCCACTCACCATATTTAAGCTTTAGCCCAGATATACCATTTTTTTCTGTTTTAATTTGTTCTTTTCTCAGGCGCTATGTAACACCTAGCATCCAAGAATGCTTTATCAAGTATCTCTTTTTTCTTTTGTTAATAAAATCACCTCCTTTAAGATGATGATTTGATTCTTGTGTCCTGGAAGGTAAAAGGAGGTCTGTGTGGGCCTGCCTAGCCTGAGAGGTCAGCTATGAAAGACACAGTTTGTTTTCTGTGTTTTCTTTTCTTTTGTTTCTTTTCTTTTTTTCAAGCTCTCTTGTGGCAGAAGAGCTTGGGATAGGCTCCCCTGTTGACAGAGAGTAAAAAAAATGCGGATAAGCACCCCATAGAGCAATGTTGTGAGGAGGTAGAATTGATCCCTGGGCTTCTTGGATTTCTCTTTAAGTTCTCCCACACCATTCTCAGATACTAGAGCAGCATCATGAGTAGTTCTGCGAAGTCTCTGTGCTAAAGTATGTCAAAGCAGCACAGCAGTCATTCCAGCCTTATCCCTGCAGCAGCAGTCTGTCTGTTGCTATGTTTCTAGCAGGACAGAATGAGAGAATTCCAATTATTTGCTCTTTTTGTTCCCCAAAGGTAACAGCTCACTCAGCGGTCAGACACTTCCTGGAGCTTTGAAAGAGGAGAGGTGCATGCCTGCAGGCAGCAGAGATCACAAAACAAATCAGCAGAGATCAAAAACACTGAGAACAGTCATCAGAGCAGGTGCTGTGGGATGCTAGTGGAAGTCAGTTCTCTCAACAAAACAGCAGAATCCACACTGGCTCTTTGTCAACAACAAAGGGAAGGGAAAAGAAATAAGTCTTTTGCAGGGCTGGAAGTTTGTCGCCAAAACTAGGTGTTTTTCCAACAAAAGTTGCATTGTAGTGTATATGTTCTCGGCGGTTTTTTGGCGACAAAACATGCCAGTGTAGACAAGGCCTCACAAATAATTCAGAGATACTATAATTCAGTGAATAATTCTGTGTTGAAAAGCTACCTTAACAAACCAACCACCAAAAAAGTAAATAATTTAAATACAATAGCTTATCTTGTCATTAACCAGTAACTAGTTATTACCAAAAAAGATATATAACACCTTAGAACACAAAATACAAGCATCAAAATGCCATAATCATTCCAACTCTCAGTATTATCAAGCATTAGGAATTGTAACCAGTGTTCCCTCTAAGTCACGCAAGAGCACAGCCCTGGAGCTGCTTAATGAGCCCCACCAAGCCAGGGGGGGGGGGGGGTGGGAAAAGCCCTTCTCCTTCAGCAACAGCAGCAGCTCTCTACTGAGAAGAGAGCAGTGAGTTTCCCACCGCTGGTAGGGACACAAATCCTGAGCTCTTGGCTGGGCAGGGCTCATTAAGCAGCTGCAAGGAGTGCTACCTCACAGTTTAGAGGGAACTCTGATTATAACTGGCTCTATTGTATTACTGAAGCAGTCAGAACAACTTTTAATTACTATGATATGAAAGGATTTTGTTGAAAGTTAACAATGCAGTAATATAATATTTTTAAAAATTCCTATGGCCAGTTAAAATAGATTTAAAGTATCTATTAAAATTAAATGAAAAATTTACTTTACCTTTTTATGTATTATTTTTCTCCCTTCAGATTTCTCCATCAGACATGCAGAATCAGAGAAGACATCTGCTGTTAAAATCAGTAGCATTTAGAAAACTAGTTTTATATCCAAAAAAATGCTAACCTTCTACAATTTTTAGTTGACAGAATAGGATATCATTTATGTATCCACATATCTTTATCAATGCATTAAACTGCTTTTGGATTATTATTTGGACAGTAGTACAGTTTTTCAAAAAATTGTTTTGTCCAAAATAAATACTTTTTATTTTCAAAATTCAGAAATACTTCACAAATACTGAGGACAAGCACATTTCAAAGCCTATAATTGATAGAATATAGCAGAACAAAACATATTATATAATGTGTCCGACAGAAATGGCAATTTCCTGCTATATCTTCAGGAGATTTTATTTAATTAAGTTTAAATATCTTTTAGGTCTACTATTTTAACGTATTATTGTGGGCTAGGACTATGTGTCAGCTCTCAACCAAGGAAAAGAGACAGATGTGACACCTAGGGGTTCAAAATATTATCTTAAAGAAGGTGCCAGACAAGAATGGAGTTCTGGGACAAAACATGCTAAGTGGTTTTCCTGTGGAATATCTACGGGGAGGTGATGATATTCACCTCCAGTTATACAAAAAACACAGCCATTTGAAGCTACACCCTGAGAAGTAAGCCATTATCTGCTTATCCCCTGTTACATGAGACCAAGATCAAAAGCCCAAGCTATACTAAGGAAAGACTGAACTATTCATGATTGTTCTAGTTCTGAATCTGAGACAAATTATGTACTTTTAACCACAGGAAAACCCAGTAATGGGTTCTAAAGATTGGCATCCAGAAGAGCCTAATGTTGGAACTGGGTAACCCCTGATAAGCTTTTCAGCACACGTGCGTTTCTTGTATTGTTTTTATGTTTTCTCTGTAATGCTTTCACCTGAAGGAATATGCTCACTTATAAAGAGGTGTGCGGTAACTTATAAATGTGGGCAAAATACTGGGTAGACCATATGGAGAAAAAGCAAAGTACAGATGCTGACTTTTTAGGTAGTTTGTATTGCTGGGAATATCACAATGCAGGCAGGGAACTGTGCAGTCTTTAAAAATCCCCTTGATCAGGAAGGAGAAACTGTCAGTTTCTGCCCAAGAGAGTTTCAGAGGGGTAGCCATGTTAGTCTGTAACTGAAAAAAATATTAAAAACAACAAATAGTGTGGCAGCACCTTAAAGAATAACAAAATTTGTAGAAGTGGGTTGTGCCCATGTGTGACGTAGTGGGGGTACCTGGCTGGTTTCTATGCTGCTGGCTCTGGGGTAACCCCCACTGGCTGCCGTGGGTACCACGACCCAGCAAAACAGGATGAGTCACTATGCAAACGAGTATGGCCAGCCACCCCCCATGGAGAGGAACAAAGGAAGGTGGAATGCTGCCCTGGCTGGGGGGCAGGGCTGGAAGAGGGTGAGTGAGTTGGTGGCTGTCGGGGAGCATGGTGGAGACAGCCTAGGGAGAGGAGCTGGAGTTTAGGGGCCCAGTCTCCCCCCAACTCAAGGGGGCCTGAGGCATCCTAGCCCAGCTCTGTGACCAGACTACATCTGTGCTGTGCTGTACCCTGGAGAAGCAATAAACTTCCTCTACTCCACCGGCTGGTGCGGTCTGTTTGTGCCATTTCGGGGTGCAGGAGATGGGGGACCCCAACGCGCCGTCACACCATGAAAGCCCATGATGCCCTCTACAAATTTTGTTAGTCTCTAAGGCTATATCTAGACTACAGGCTTCTTGCACAATAAGTTTTTTTCCGAAAAAACTTCTTGCAAAAGAGATCATCCACACTGCAAACGTGCATTGAAAAAGTGATGCACTTTTTCACAAGATAGCATCCATCTCACATATAAGCAGTAATTGCTATGGACAAAATGGCCACCAGGGCACCTGTGGTTTTTCCTCTTCCCTCTTCTTCTGAAAAAACTCCCTCTTCCCCATCCACACACCCCTTTTTTCGATAGAGCTCTTTTGCAAAAAGGCGTTCTTCCTCATACAATGAGGATTACTAATACTGCAAAAACTCCTCGGTTCTTTCGATTTATTTACAAAAGAACGCAATTGCAGTGTTGACATTCCTCAAGTTTTGTCAGAAAAACGGCTGTTTTTCCGACAAAACTCTGTAGTGTAGACATACCCTAAGGTGTTACAAGACTATTTGTTATTTTTTAAGTTTTTTCCCAAGAGAGTTGACACCTGAGGAACTGAGAGGTAGTCAAGAGTGGTTGCCCTCAAGGGACAAGTGCATTTAACATGAACTGTGACTCACTGCAACACAAAAACCTTATGCATGGCAAATATAATTAAATAATTAAAAAACTATTTAAGTGAAACACCATTCCTAAATGTATAATCTGTTCAACAATTAGTTTCTTACTTGCTTCTACACTTTTGGATTTCTTCAGATTTTTAGTTCTGCTATACTCTATTAGTTGGGGTTTAGGTTTTCTGCTAGACTCTCGTAGCCAGCTGATATCTGTCTTGCTGTCATCACCTCTGAATTCTGTGTCAGTGTCACTAAAGAGATGCTTCTTATTTTTATTAGTTCTATTCTATAAAACAAAGAAACAAAATGCTTACAAGTCATTTATTCTATTTAGAATTATAATACATTTTTTCCCTAAATGTATGTGGTACTGCTTGAAGAAGCAATTTGAGCTACAAACCCAAGTGTAAAACTATCTTTACAGGGCTTTTCACTATTACATTCAATAACTTCAGGCTGCTTTATTTCAAGCATAGGACCATTGGAGTGGAAAGATGGCTTAGAATTTTTATAATACTTTGCATTGTTTTAAGGGGAAAAAAAGGAGTATTTTCCATGTTGAAAATTTGATCTTTCAAGTATCAGTTTCCCTCAGTTTTAAGAAACTTACTTTTTTATCTACTTTTTTCTGTATGGTACTTTCGCTTTCATCGGGATTCCTTAAACAAAGAGATATTCACATTAATAAATACATCCAAAACGGAAGACATCTGCTGGGGTTATTGGTATGTCTGTGTGTGGGAGGGGAATTATGAGGCACATGTATTCGAGCTCTTTTTAGCAAGTTTTTAGACCATAGTTCACTGTAATATCTAATGGGGCAGCCTCTGAGTTTGAGCCAAACAAGGACACACAACTAGAATTTTCTTGTAGCGATCTCTACTAATATGAGGATGACACACTGCAACTATTAGGTTGCCTTTCCAGAGTGCTTCATGAGGAGTGTTTTCTTCATTAGTAAACATCATATACTAAACTAGTAATCTGATGAAAAACGAAAGGATTACAGAGCATTTTGCCAAAGGAAAACAGTAAAAAAATGCAGCCGAGGAAGCCATTGGAGCTGTCTTTACCTGTTGCAGAAAGGAAAATAAATGATGAAGTTAAGACAGCTCACTTTACAGCGAAAGTGAGACAAGAGTGTTTTTTCCTGTCTATATCTATTAGAAGAATTTAAATTTGCTTTCTTCATTGGCAAAGAAGGATGTTGGAGAATGCAAACAGAACTATTCATTATGAGCATCCTTAATGACAATTTTTTTCTGATTATTTTAATATAGTGTAACATGCTTACATTTTTTCTGTTGGATTTGTACAAGCTTTCAGATTGGCAACATACAATTCTTGAACCTAAATGTAAGTACAAATGAATTAGAAATAACTGCAAATGTATCTTTATTTATATCTATCTATAAGCATAAAACTCCCAGGAAAATTCTGCATCATTGCACATGCACAAAATTCATGTCTCCATAGATTTTTTTTTTTTTATTTCTCACAGAAAAATGGTTTCAGACAGGGAACCTAAGGGAAACTGCAAGAGCAGTCATGCAAGACACTGTCCCTCTCATTATTGTAGCATACTTGGCATGGAGAAGGGCTTCAGGGTGTTATTGAGGAGCTAGGTGTGAGGCAGGCTGCATATCTTCAGGTAGAGCACAGTAGCAGCTTGCCTGCTTAATGAATTGCTCCCACTGTCTTTGAGAATACCCTCAAGAGTATAAAACAGATAAAAGTTTGAAGGCTTTTTAATATTGCCAGAGTGGTATAAAGGAAATTTTTGGTTTATAAATGGTTATGATGCATTAGTGATTAGAACTAGCCTAGTTTTTTGGACTGAAATAATTTCTTATTAAAATTTGTTTCATGAACTGTTTGCTGCTGACCTTTCTGAAGATGCTCTGTAGCTAATATAAATTGCAAGTATGGTTCCCCAGCCCCCAATTGCTTGTCAGTTGGCTGTGATGCAGCACTGAGCATATGGCTGCATACATTTGTTGATTAACAACTAGAAATAAAGGGTCAAACCTAGCTATATTACTGTTAGGCAAAGAGGTTTGGGGATTTCCTCTAATGCTCTCCACTCCCATTCTCCATCCATTGTATTGCAGTTTAATTAAATTACTGAAATAATTGAAACCAGAGTGATATCTCATTAGATCACATTATTTTGACAAGTAAAGTGTAGCATTTTGCAGAAATTTAAAATATTGTGCCCAGAATTTTTATATTTTGCTACAACATTTTTATTTTTTGGCACAAAATACCCCTGGAGTTTTATTTATAAATAGATGGATAGCTAGATAGATATGCGCGCGCACGCACACACGCACACACAGTATTTACAATGGTTAATTTAGACAAAGAATATTTCACATAATCACTTTGAATAGTTTAGTGCAACCTTCCTAGATTTCACATAAATTATTACTCTTTTCACAGGCATAATTTAATCTTTTTCTTAAAAATTGGTCCATATTCTCCATTTTGCATTTGGAAATGTTTCAGATGTGTGGCTTGTATACTACTACTTCATAGTTTTTTCTTAAGATAGGGCTGGTAGCAGAGTAGAAAAGGCAGAGAATGGATCTGTCAGATTTCATGGACCTAAGGGAACCAATGCCTACTCTTCTCCCTTCCAAAAGGCTTAGAGTATGTCCAAACCCACAAAATATATACTGAGGATGAGGTGTTGCTCCCCCTTATAACTCTTGATGTCAAGAAAGCTAATCACATATTGAGTTGCATTAGTAGGTACACTGCCAGCAGTTCAAGGGAAGTGATTATTCCTCTCTATTTGGTGCTAGTGAGGCCACATCTGGAGTTTTGTATCAAGGTTTGGACCTCCCACTACAGAAGGGATGTGAACAAACTGGAGAGTGCGTAGTGGAGGGCAAAAAAAATCATTAGGGGGCTGGCGTGCATGACTTATTAGAAAAGGCTGAGGGATTGGGGCTTTTTTAGTTTGCATAACAGAAGGATGAGGGAGGATTTAATAGAAGACTTCAAAGAGGGTGGTACTAGTCTGTTCTCAGTGATGGCAGATGACAACAAGAAGCAATGGTCTCAAGTTGCATTGGGGAGATCTAGGTTGCATATTAGGAAAAACTATTCACTATGAGAGTGGTGAAGCTCTGGAACTGATTACCTTAGGAGGTGGTGGAATCTCCATCCTTACATGTTTTCAACAAAGCCTTAATTGGGATGATTTGTTGGGGATTGGTACTACTTTGAGCAGGGGTTGGACTAGATGACTTTCTGAAGCAACTTCCAACTCTAATCTTGCATGATTGTATGATTCTATGTTTAAGCATTAACCCAGAATGTGGGAGCAAAACTGTGTTATCGGGTATTCTAGGGAGAGTCTCTCAGGGTTTGTTTACATTGCCCTACAGTTTGGACTACAAAGATCAGAAAAGCAGTGTGAACCACAGTTCTGTGCTCTAACTCCTGCATGTGGATCCTGCAGACATGAATTAAAAGGTTCCTAAGTTTGCATAAACAAAAACTACCGGAATCTTACACCAAGCTTTATTGTAGGTTCATCAAATCCACTTAAGTTAAAATTGTAGACATCATCCCTGTCAAAGCAGATGGAGATAAAACTTCAGTTAGTGAATCATGAAATATTCTTAATATAGTTGAATAATTAAAACATTTTCAGATAAATTGACTAGATACTTACACTATATGTCCTGTAGTTATATTAAGCATAGCTGTAGTTTTTACATGTTTAAAGCTTGTATTCTGAACTTTTCCCTATACAAGAAGAATTAAACAAGTCATATTCAAAACATGTTCATCTATAGTCATCAATACATCAGGAAGCTCTTCAAGACAAGCAAAGGTGACAAATTAATTGCTTTTAACTCTAAATCTCAATAATAATAATTTACAATATTCAAATATGATATTAGAGATCAGGGGTTGCTGGAAATGTAAAACACAAGTTTTTATCATCTGTGGCCCTGAAAAATCTTGTGGTACTTATTCCAAAAAATGGAGGTTACTCACCTTGTGCAGTAACTGGTGTTCTTCGAGATGGATGTCCCTGTGGGTGCTCCACTGTAGGGCTATGTTTACATTCGTGGCTTCTTGTGCGAGAAATATGCAAATGAGGCTAAGTGTGGACTATCGCCAGCCTCATTTGCATACCTTATGAGCCACCATTTTTGCAGAACAGGCTCATCTGCCAGAAGGAGCTGTCTACACTGCCCCTTTTTGCGCAAGAAAAACCCTCTTGCGCAATGCCGTTATGCCGATTATTTTCAGGAATAACGGCATTGCGCAAGAGGGTTTTTCTTGCGCAAGAAGGGACAGTGTAGACAGCTCCTTCTTGAGCAGGAGCCTCTTCTGCAAAAATGGCGGCTCATGAGGTATGCAAATGAGGCTCGGCGATATTCCACGCTTAGCCTCATTTGCATATTTATCGTGCAAGAAGCTGTGAGTATAGACATAGCCTCCATGTCTCGGTGCTCCTGTGCTTGAAATCAGAACTTTTTAGCAGCAGTACCCTACCCCCCGTGTGCTGCAATTAATGTGCTGACGCACGTGTGCCATCAACTGTCCCTCAGTTCCTTCTTTATCATGGAGTGATGTTCCAGCTCCAAAACAGAGGGGAGGAGGGATGGTTGTGGAGTGCCAACAGGGACACCCATCTCAAAGAACAGCAGTTACTGCACAAGGTGAGTAACCTCCCTTTTCTTCTTTAAGGAGTGTCCCTGTAGGTGCTCCACTGTGGGTGATTATGGAGCAGTACTCTAAGCATCTGGAAAGAGGGGCTTCGGACCTGATTGGTGAATGGTGGCAAGGACCGCCTCCCCAAACGTGGTATGCTGTGAAGTGTAAGTGTCTATAGCATAACATTTTGTAAATGTGTGTTTAGAGGCCCATGTTGCTGCTCTACAAAAGTCCTTGAGGGACACGCTGTGTAGAAAGGCCGTAGAGGTGGTCATTGCTCTACTGGAGTGTGCCCACAACTGGGCTGGTAATGGCACTTATAGTAATTTTTAATACGATTTGTTATCCATTTTGAAAGTCTCTGTTTTGAGATTGCGTGGCCTTTGGAAAGATCTGCTATGGAAATGAATAGTCTGGGAGAACGCCTGAACTACTTTGTTCTATCTAGGTAAAAGGCAATCACCTGCCGAATGTCCAAGGAGTGGAGCCATATTGCACTGGTGTCCAGATGACACTTTTGGTGAAAAAAGCGAAGTTACTCACCTTGGTGCAGTAACTGTCGTTCTTCGAGATGGTGTCCCCGCGGGTGCTCCACTATGGGGGTATTGGGCTTGCCCCAGCGCCGCAGACGGAGGCTTGTCAAAAGTAGTATCCAGCCGGACCATGCATGTGCCGTGGGGCTCGCGGCATTTGCGCTCTTTTCTTGGCACACGGTCCAGCCTCCCGCCAGTTCCTCAAGATCGCCTCAGAGTCTGTAAGACACAGGAAAAAGCGGACTCCGAAGCGGGGAGGAGGGCGGGTAGTAGAGCACCCGCGGGGACACCATCTTGAAGAACGACGGTTACTGCACCAAGGTGAGTAACTTTGCTTTCTTCTTTGATGTCCCCACAGGTGCTCCACTATGGGTGACTGCGTAGCAGTGGTCGCCAGAACAGAAGGAGTCCCTATTTATCCGCTGTGGAGAGCACCGCAGTTGCCACCGCCCCATCCAGGTGAGTGCCCAGAGACAAGGAGTAATGCTTAGTGAAGGTCTCATGTGATGACCAGGTGGCCGTCCTACAAATGTCCTTGAGGGAGACCCCTTTAAGGAAGGCCATCGAAGCCGCCATGGCCCTGGTGGAGTGGGCAAATGGTTGGGCGGGAAGGGGTAACTGTTTCACTGCATAACATTGCATTATGCATGAGGTTATTAGGTTTGAAATCCTTAGGAAAATAACGGTTGTCCTTTTGATCTATGTGCCAAGGAGACAAAGAGGTGGTCCGTACATCTGAAGGGTCTGGTGTGATCTATATAGAAGACTAAGGCCCTTCGGGCATCTAGGGAATGCGGGGCCACTTCCTGTGGCGAGGCATAGGGTTTTGGATAAAATACTGGTAGAATTATTGGTTCGTTGACGTGGAAATGGGATACAATCATTGGAATGAATTTCGGGTGCAGCCTCAGCACTACCCCATCCTTTCGGAAAATTGTAAATGGTGGCGTAACCATCATGGCCTACCCTCCGTGCCGATGTTAAGGTGAGTAAGAAAATTGTTTTCATAGTCAGGAGGTGAATCTACGCCACTTAAAAACCACTTGTGGTTTGTCATCTACTGTGTATGAGGACATGCTGAACTGGTGCCAAACAGAGGGATTCGGATGGGTTCAACCAGTTAAGAACCATGCTGTGAGATTCAAAGTGTATATCTGGGGGTGTTCTAGGAGTCCTCGGTCCTGGGTGAGAAGGTTCGGGAGGGCCGGGAAGTGAATCAGTGGGCGTGCAGAGAGACTATGGAGAAAGGGGAACCAGTGCTGGTGCGGCCAATCCAGTACTATGAGGATGAGCCTCGCCCTGTCTGCCCTCACCTTCTGAAGAACCCTTGAGATCAGTGGTATGGGAGGGAAGGCATAGAGGAGGGGTCCATGCCAACTGATGAGAAAGGTGTCTCCCAGGGATGCATGGCCGAGGCCCGCCCTGATGCAGTACTTGTGGCATTTCACATTGCAGGAGGTTGCGAAGAGATCTATTCGGGGAGTCCCCCAGCGTCAGAAGAGGTCGAGTAGGACTCCCTCATGCATTTCCCACTTGTGTTTCACATAAAAGTGCCTGCTTAGGAAGTCTGCGGTCATGTTTGTGGTCCCAGATAAGTAAGATGCCGTAGGTGTTATTCCGTGGCGAATGCACCAATTCCAGAAAAGGATAGCTTCCATGCATAAGGAACGGGAGCGAGTGCCACCCTGGTGATTCACATAATACATGGCTGTGAAGTTGTCCATGAGTATCCTCACTGTGGTGTTCTGGATGTGGTTGAGGAAGCATTTGCAGGCATTGAAGATGGCGCATAGTTCTAAGAGGTTTATATGTAGTTGTGCTTCTCGTGGGGACCAAGGCCCGACTAAGGGGTGGGCTAGCCGGGCAGCTGCCCAGAGCTCCACTATCTCGGAAGGTATCTTTCCAGCAATGCTGATATTGATGATGAAATCCACCACCAAATCTCCAGTGCCAGTGCAGCTTATGAACATTTACAGAGGCGAGTCTTCAATGACTGTGATACCAAGATGCAGACCAAGACTGATGTCTATAATGCCATAGTTATCCCAGCCCCACGGTGCCGGCCAGCAGCGCCCTTCCCCCCACGACCGTGGGGCCCTACATGGCCCGGCGTGTGCGCCAGCAGTGGTGGCTGGGAAGGGCTGTGCAGTGCATGTGCCGTGAGCCCCGGGGGCGGGCACCGGGTGCTGGGCTGCATACCAGTGGTGGTGGCCGGGCTGCGCATGCGCCGTGTGCCCCGGGGACAGGCCCCAGGCAGCGCATCAGCCGCCGTGGCTAGGCCGTGCATGTGCCATGCACCCTGGGGATGGGCCCACGCATGCGCCGTGCACCCGGGAGGTGGGGCCAGGCGCCCCAGGGGTGGCGCTGCACGCCTGGGACTCGGGGTCCCAAAATCGCTCGAGCCGGCCCTGGTGGGGATCATTGGCCCTGCACTTGGAGAGACCCCATGTGTGCTCCCCATCCTAGCAGAGAAGTGTCTGTCGTAATTTGGTGGAAGGGCTGTTGTTGACGGAAAAGTACCCCGATAAGAGATTCTTGCGGCTGGTCCACCACAGGAGTGATTGCGTAATGGAAGGTGGAAGCGCTACTGACCTGTGGAGGTCGTATCTGATGTGGTTGTAGACCAGTGTCAGCCAGTATTGAAGGGCGCGAAAGTGTAGTCTGGCGTATTTGACCACATATGTTGTGGCAGCCATATATCCCATCAGTCTCAGGCGTGTTATGAGTGAGACAGTGGGACTGACGGTAATGGTGTGGATAAGGTCCTGGATAGCCTGAAATCTTTGCAGAGATAGAAAGGCTCTGCCTGCCAAAGAGTCCAGGCGGGCCCCTATGAACTCGACATTCTGGGTAGCGTGCAAAATGGACTTTTGGTCGTTGAGGAGGAGTCCGAGTGATAGGAAGGCTCGCCTGGTGAGTTGAACCATATGAGAGACCTCGAGTGCAGAAGGACCCTTGAGTAGGCAATCGTCCAGGTACAGGAAGGTGACTACTTCTTGTCATTGGAGGAAGGCCACAACTACCGCTAGCACTTTTGAAAATACCCTAGGGGCTGAGGAAAGCCCGAAGGGAAGGACTTTGTATTGGAAATTATCCTTTCCGACGACAAACTGTAAGAACCTTCTGTGGGCTGGATGGATAGGGACATGAAAGTAGGTGTCCTGGAGGTCGAGGGTGGCAAACCAGTCTTGTTGATCCAATGTAGGAATTGTGGCAGCTAAGGTGATCATTTCGAATAGTTGTTTCCGCAGGAATTTGTTCAGACAGCAGAGGTCCAGGATGGGATGTCAACCTCCGGACCTTTTCTGGGTGAGAAAATAGTGTGAATAGAAGCCCCTGTTCTTGTACTCATTTGGGATTGACTCTATGGCACCCAGAGAAAGAAAGCGGCCAACTTCTGCTTCTAGGAGGACCTCGTGAGAGGGGTCCCTGAAAAGGGACGGAGTGGGAGGGGTGGTGGGTGGAATGGAGGTGAAGGGAATGGGGTAGCCCGTTCAAACAATTTCCAGTACCCATCTGTCTGTGGTGATTTTGGCCCATTGGTGG